ACAAAACAAACGGAGATAATATATATACACAAAAGGAGTCTGAGCAGGACCAAAAAAAACACTGAGAAACAACACTTACTCTAACTGGCAGTCGGTGGTTAACGGCTGGGCGAAGTAAAAAACTGAGGTGACTGGTGGTGGAACTCCTTCTCCCTTGCCGTGGGTCGGTGGAATATGGGAGTTCTTGTTGGTACTGAGAGAAGCATGGGTATATATACAAATTTCAGTACCGAACAAGGGTTGGGAAAAAGAGGGGTTGAAAGTGGGGTAGTGAGAGAAGGGCGAAAGTAATGACTAAAAACGAATTCGTTTTTAACGTTAAGTTCGCGGAGGAAAATGAAAAAACTGATAGCAGAAACGGATAGAGCATGCTTGGAAACATAGAAGTAAAAAAAAGATACGTGATTTTAGGTTTAGAATTAGCAAAATAGGAAAAAGGTCTTTAAAAAAAGAAGTAGAAAAATAATGTCTTGCTCATAAAAAAAGTAAGAGGGGAAACTACAACCGCATAAGGGTAAAAAAATAGTAGAAAAGAAAAAAAATAGAGTAAAGCCAATTGATTATAGTAAATGAAACAAGTTTTTAAGTAGAAAGATAGAAGAGCGTAGTTATGTACAAGAACGGTTGTAGCGGATGGTGCAGGTAGTTGGAGCAGGTAATGAAAAGGGAAAACCGTACCTTTGGTGACGTCACATAGCAGATCGTTACGTTGGTTGAAGTTCCGGGAATAAACTACGCTGTATGTTGATATCAAATATAAATATGTGTATGTATTTTTGTATATACAAAATACCACATATACTAAAAAAAATTTTTTCTGTGCCTGATCTTAAATTATAGTTGAAATAAGCAATCAACTTTGCCACAAAGAATTCGAGAAAATTTGAGATATTTGTCATCATTTGTTATTAATGTACTAGGTGTATGTATTTAAAAGTGTGCTCACAATACAAACAAACCTTAACTTAAATTGCCACAACAAACAAACACGTTTAGTTTTAGCATTTTTTTGAATTTCTATATAGATCATTGGATGCTTCGATACAAGTAACGTACAATTTGTATTTACATTAATTTACAACAAGTGATAATTTTAATTCATTTACGTCATAGAATTCAAAATCTTTCCCTTTGCACATTTCTTAAATTTAGATATAATCATAAAATTAATATCTACCAAGAGATGCTGTTCATTCACAAACTTCTAGACTCCATATTTAAATCATTTTTTATCTAAGTTATTATTTAATATTAATGGTACAAAATCTTCTGAGTTATTACGCAATATTCTAGAAGGAACATGAAAATTAACCTTTGCTAGGAATTCAGATAAAATAGTGTACCCATTCATCAGTTTATACAGGGTGGTCCTTTAAGCGCGCCTTGCTCTCTAACGGTTTTGCCGTTGGAAGAATGTGTTTCCAATAAAAAATGTCCCTGGTAAAATGATTAAATGCATATCTCGCCTTATTTTAAATGGTTTTTGCCTGCGCGGTTTCTTTTTCGAGTTATTTAGTAATTTCTAGAAAATTTGACCTTAAAGTACTTTACAAAAATGTTAATATCTCGGCAATTATTCTCGATAAAAAGATNTAAAAGAAAACTTATGATTATACATCTGATTGTGACAAAAATAATAAGTTATATGATTTCGCCCAACATGGTGAACACCTACATTCTCTAACTAATTATATGATTAAAATACGAAATGTGCTTAGTTGATGTACATATTGAGGTTCTTAAACATTTTTCATGTATGATTTGTATTTATTTCTGTTTACATTAAATAATCTATGGTCGTTATCACATAACATGTATGGATACATTTTCTCCTTAGTGTGATGGTATTTTTTTTTATTATTGTTTTGGTTTAGTTTAGAGAAATAGTACTATACATTTATTACTATTAATTATTTGAGTCTAGTTTCTGATTTGTTCTTAAATATTCCTCATTCGGTCTCCATTTTCTAGCTTGTAATTCTTTTCGTACATTTCATTTTTAATAACACTCTGTATATGTTTCTGAGACATTCTAAAACTATTTTGTCGACAGCGCAAGTTCGGCAGATAATGGTAACGATAAGCAGATGTATTCTACTGCTTTTTATCATGATTTAGAGAATGCGAGTAAATTTTATCATGCTTTATTCAACCTTTTAAGAATATTATTGTTTTGCTTGATTTGAACGTTTTATTAATAATAAGAAGTAGAATTTTCTGTCATTTAAAGTAAATTTAAATTATTCCAGTTATTGATGGAATTGTTAACATACCATTTACCGATCGTTTAATTGAATTTGAACAGTGTGTTTTAGATATACTTGGATTTCTCTTTTTACATATTAAGTTATATTGATGAAAATAGAAATAGGCAAAGTTCAGATTTTCCAAAACATCTCAAAATAGAAAAAAGCCACAAAGAGAAGAATAATTTGAAATGAGATTTGTTGGTAGCATTAATTCTGCAAAACATTCCATGTTGTACTGTTGCTGTATTTCTTCTAACATACATACATATTTACATACAAAAAGAAAAATTTTGACTCACTTAGTCATCGAGTCATCATAAGCTAAACTCTTTTTCGGTTTCTATTAATAATGTGTACAACGAATAAGAAAAGGTACTTGGACATTCAATCCCTAAGGGAATGTAAAGCGGTAACAATGTTTATATGGAACTTAGTCTTAATACTCTTTAGATAATTTAATTAATCAAACACTTAAAAATCATGTATTTTTTATATATTTTGGATTAGATACTTAATTCGTCGTCTCATTAATTAAGAAAGCCTGCCTTACGTAATATCTGAAATTTATGAGAAAGTCTATTACATTTATAAGCTTTGAATTTAATATTTGATTTTATTACAGATATTACCGAAGGAGTTTCATTGGAAAGAACAGTCATGCTGAGAGAGAAAAAAATTGTAATACCATTTCAGGGCCACTTGTAATACCTTCCAAAGGTGCAATTTTGAACTTTTAAATTGAATTGATGCATCGAAATCTGCACTTTTCAATAGTTAAAACTGCTTTTAAAAT